AAGACACTTGATAAGTTTTTTCAATGAGTACATACCTTCACAAGATTTTGAAGTAGTTCAAAATGGAACAGTCAAAGAAAGAGTTCTTGCCTGTGTTACAAGGTGTGAAATTGAGTAAGACTCAAAGCCCGACCACGACAGAAGATAGAAAGAGAATGAAAGTCATTCCCTATGCCTCAGCCATAGGTTCTATAAAGTATGTCATGCTGTGTACCAGATCTATTGTATACCCTACACTAATTTTGGCAAGGGAGTACAATAGTGATCTAGGAGTAGATCACTGGACAACGGTCAAAATTATCCTTAGTGGAATAAGAATATGTTTCTCGATTATGGAGGTGACAAAAAGGTTCGTCGTAAAGGGTTACGTCGATGCAAGTTTTGACACTGATCCAGATGACTCTAAGTCTCAATCTGGATACATATTGAAAGTGGGAGCAATTAGCTAGAGTAGCTCCGTGCAGAGCATTGTTGACATAGAAATTTGCAAAATATATACGGATCTGAATGTGGCAGACCCGTTGACTAAACTTCTCTCACAAGAAAAATATGATCACACCTTAGTACTCTTTGGGTATTAATCACATAACGATGTGAACTAGATTACTGACTCTAGTAAACCCTTTGGGTGTTGGTCACATGATGATGTGGACTATGGGTATTAATAACATGGTGATGTAAACTATTGGTGTTAAATCACATGGTGATGTGAACTAGATTATTGACTCTAGTGCCACTACTAGGGAAAAGCCTAGCAGCAGCGCGGGTTTTAGGCCTATCAGTAGCGCGGGGCGATGCGCTACTGATAAGGCGCTACAGCTAACGTATAGCAGTAGCGTGCCTTCGTCCATGCTACTGCTAAATCGACTTAGTAGTAGCGACTTCCCAGAGGAGCGCTACTGGTAATTAGTAGTAGCGCTTCTCCCTGCCCGCACTGCTACTATTATTTCGTATTTTATTTCTTTTTTATTTTATGTTGTATTCGTACACCTTTACACAAGTTTTCATACAACAGGAATTTAGAAATTGTTTTTACATCATAATGAGTTATTACATCACGGGGTGAAAGAACCGTGGACTAGTTTCAAGTGGATAGACATCCACTTGAAACTAATCCACGGTTCTTTCACCCAATGATATAATAAATATCATCATCATCGGCATATCATTAACAACTTATCATCATAATACATCATTGTCATATAACACCTCCTCAAGATCATCGTTTTCATCAATGAGACATCACATAGCAAATTGGTCACTAGTCGTAATCACAAGTACTCCTCATCATCAACTCTAACACATTGTATCACATAATAAACATATTGTACCTCATAGGACCTACTACATTCTCTTAGGACCTACTATATTTTCTAAGGTAAAATAGCAAAAAACAAGATAGCTCCTGACTCTTCATTATGGAGAATGGAGATTATCCTATCTTTAATTCTTGCCTTTCGCTTAATGTTACTTCCAAGAACCTCTTTGCGAATGTCCAAACATTTTTTCCATTCTTTGATTAGCATGTGTTCACCGGTTTTAGAAATCTGATATGCACAGGTGAGCTCCTTAGATTGACCTGGCTGTATGTTCAGAACTGCAAGGCGACCATTCTGATACATCAGACGAGGCACACAATCCATCGATATTTTCTGTTGAAAAACATAGTAATAACTTCGTAGTTAGCAATGATGTACTAGTTTTAGAAGTATGCAAAAGATGCGCGGATGTCGTAATAGTAAAAATCTTACCAGGGTATCTCCATAGAAGTTACCGTGGTTCAACACGTACACTAGTGGCACGTATTCACCATAATTTGGAGGAGTTCAATAATAGGTATTGTAATTCTCAAGATAAGTACAATAAGCAATCAGATGACTTTTCTCTTTATAAGTTAATTCAGAGCCATCAGTGTAGTGGGTTTTGTCTATCATCTTCTGCACATTATTTAAAAATTCAAAATAAGCTGTCAACTATTTTGAAATAAACAATATAAATTAGTTAATAACTATGTTTGAGAAACTCACATTGCGGTAGAATCGGAAGCGTATCAACAAGGACCCAAATGTCCATATTGTCTTGCTCGATGTCAGGATTACCAAGATTCATGGTGACAATCATACCCTCATAAAAATCATACATTTTGCAAAGTGCTTCCCAATTTTAACAACCAAAATGGGTTACGCTCTGAGAATTGTACAGATTTACTTCAAAATCGATATCATGATGGGTCCTTAGGTGTATTTTCTTTGTTTGAAAATTTTCATGGTCTTCAAAACCCATCCTCTCCAAGACACAGCGTCTTACATGGCATGGGATAAGCTAGTCGGATTGTAAAAGATGAAAATTAGACGTTGAAATAGTTGAAGTCATGCTTAATTACGAAAAAAACACTTGTCGTTGTTGCGTACCGTTTCAACATCGAAGGTCTCCTCGAGCTTAATGCTGAAGCGCCGATTTTCGTCCAGCTCAACGAACATGTCGCACATACCTCGATCGTTGTGGTACCAGCTGCACTCCCCCGGGAGACTGTCGTCGTCCGAGTACGACATTTCCTACGTTCATAATTCAAAGATTAAACTTGTACAATTAAATATATGTACTAAAAAAACCTAAGTTGGATCATTATTTTTCGAGAAAATCCAGGCCACTCGATATTTCCTACATATTCTAGCACAAGTCATGCCAGAATTCACGAAAAAATCCGGCATGACCTTTGCTAAAAAGGGACATATCGAGCGCTTGAAATTTTCCAGAACAGAAATTAATCAATACTCCGGGAAAATATAGGCCACTCGAAGGTGTAAACTGAATATGAATGGCCACTTGGGCAACCACGTATCCTATTTGAGCAAATATGACATGTTCAACTAGTTTTATTAATTCAACTAGTTCTTACTAAATATAAATTTACTATAAATAAAAAAAACTAGTTCTATTAATTTTCGTACTAAAAATAAAATAGTTGTATTAACTCAACTAGTTCAATTAAGCACTTACTATGAATAAAAATAAACTAGTTTTTACTAAAATAAACTAGTTCAACTAGTTATATTAATTTTCTTACTAATTCTATTAAACACTTACAAAAATTTAACCCTAACTAATTTGATGAACTCTAACATTTAATCCTAACTAATTCGATGAACTCTAAAACTAATTCTACTTAACAACTACTGCCATAATTAGCATCTAATTTGATGAACCATAACTAATTAGATGAACTATGATATTTAACCCTAAGAACCCTAGCTAGGCAGAGGTAGGGGAGGAGGAGGAGGGCGTGCTCACCTCTGGCGCCAGCGGAGTTAGGGAGAGGGGCACGCGGCGTCGAGGTTGGGGACGGGGTCGGGACGGCGGGCGCACAAAGGGCGGCGATGTAGGGAGGGTGTCGAGGTCGGGGGCGGGGGCGGCGTCGAGGTCGCGGTCGGGGGCGGGGGCGGCGTCGAAGATGTGCGGAGAGCGACGGGTCGCGCGCGACGGTCGACGACGATGCAGGGCGGCGACAGCGGATGAGTAGGGATTTGGGGAAGTGACCGTGGGGGAAGAACGAACCGCGCGGTTAAGTTAAAAGTAGCAGTAGGGCATTCCAGGAAGTGCGTTGCTGCTACGGTAGCTATAGCGCGTTTCTTAACAAGCGCTACTGCTATTCCTTCTCTTTTTTATTTGCTTTCCATTTAATTTTATTTTCATTAGCAGTAGCGCATTTGTTCGTAAACGCGCTGCTACAAAACAAGTAGCGGTAGCGCGGTTCCACGTAGATCGCTACTACTATGTGTAGCCTATCGGCTAAGCCGTGGGAATTTTAGTAGTAGCGCTTTTGTACTCGGGCGCGCTACTGCTATAACTGTATCTGTAGCATGGTTTAAAATACCGCGTTGCTGCTAATTAGCACCAGCGTGCGTTTTTATCCCGCGCTACTGCTAATGTTCTGTGTATAAGATTTTCCCTAGTAGTGTGCAAGTGAGAGACTGAAGGAAATATGCACTAGAGACAATAATAAAATTATTATTTATTTCCTTATATTTATTTCCATTGGCGCGGCGGGGTGGGGTGGCGCGACGAGTTAGGGTTTCGGTGGTGGTTGGGACAGCGGCGGCGGTGAGGTGCGGCGGCTGCGGGAAGAAGAGGAGGCAGTGGCCGGTAGGGAGGAGAGGCAGGGCGCGACGGGGCGGCGGTGGCACGATCAGGAGGCGCGCGGCAGTGGCGGGTCGGCGCTGCAGGAGGCGGAAGCGGGCGGCACGGGGCGGCGGCAGCATGACGGGGGAAGGGCGCGGCGGCGGCGGGGTGAGGCAGCGACAACGGCGGCTCGCGCGAGAGGGCGCGGCGGCGAACCCTAGGGCAGAGACCTAAATGATGATACCATGTAGAGAGACGGTTTAGTAATACAATATTCCTAAATGATGATACCATGTAGAGAGACGGTTTAGTAATACAATATTCGTTGTATTGATGGGTGTCGGTGCACGTATATATAAGTACACGCAGGACCTTAACCTCAACTATACATGACTAGAAAGTGAGCCACAGTATACATAATACAAGCAACACAAATATACTCAACAGTAGTGCTATTATACATGGGTGTTTTGGCCATGAATGTATTCTGTAATACTTCCTTTGCCCTATGATGCAAAGGCAATGTATTCTGTAATACTTCCTTTGCCCTATGATGCAAAGGCAGAGCTTCTGCTATTCACATAAAAAAGAAAGATGGGAGACGAGAATAATATTGATGAGAACGACTCTCGTGCGTTGGCCTCTGCTATATTAACATGTATCTCGAACTCCTATATCAGTCAGTTAACCCAGCGATCCACTAACCAAATTTATAGCAAACTCCTCACAAAGCATATAGACACTGCAAACGCCTTAGATTACAAGACAAACACAAACAACACCCATTTTATTGAATCTTCTTCATCAATCATGCACACAACTCAGGTGGAATGACCAGGTTACAACATACAGGAAGGGATTAGACTAGGATGAGCTTAGGATTAGATGGGGATGGCCCTGGAGACGCGCGGGTAGACGACCCTGGAGGGATGTCCCATGATGCGGCGGCCCTTGCGGTGGCGAAACAGGTACACCACCGCGCCCACCGGCCACTCTATGACGCCGGTGACAAGGAAGGCCACGAACCCCAGCGTCGGCCCGATGAACTTGCACCGGCACGGGTTCTCCCTCGTCCCGCACTGCACGCACGCCGGGAACGCCATGGCGGCTACCTAGCTCCTGCTCTGCTGCTTGATGAATCTGTGCTTGTCGGCCGAGCTCTCGGTTTTCCGGTTATGGTGGACGAATGCTCTGGCTGTTGGTGATGGAGGAGGCGTCGCCCCCGGCAGGCCAATATATAGAGGCTTTGCGCCGGGGACGCGTAGCAGTGGTTATCCAAGTGGTTTACTGCCGCGTTGCACATTTGCACTGGTGAGCGCAGCACATATCCCCAGCTCAGACGTGTCTCTGTTTGGCCCTTGGAGCCTTCTGGTGCTGCCCTCACGTATGGGATTCCTCCCGGTCGACGGCGAAAGAAATACTATTTGATGAAGTCGGCAAGGTATTATTCTGTCCAAATCACTTTACAGAGACAACTTTCAATCACAATACTACTTATTTCGTGCAGTCGGCATCTTCCTCTGGTCCCAAACGTTCGGACGTCGGCCGAGTTATATATTACAGAAAAATAAGCCAGAAAGACAACTTTAAATCACACCTAACAATGCATGTGGTCTGCCTTTACACTAGATGCAGATTTGAAACCTGGAAGTTCTGAAATTTTAGTTCATTTGGTTGAAATAAGGCGGGTCAGAGGATATAATAAAAGTTTCAAATTTACATCTCTATCTTTTATGAAGCCAAGGCACGCAATTTGCAATGCCCTCGAACAAAAATCACACTCAACAATACCTGATATTTCTCTTTAAGGCACAATACGATGTGGCCATGAGTTTAACAAGTTTTAAGCGCGTATAGTTTTTTTACGGGGATAAGCTCATAGTATAATTTAACGCTAAGGTTTTGCAAATTATCCACCCCTCATAACGTGTCGGGTATCTTTTTTCCTTTCCTAATGCGCGCACCTTGGTACAGAACTCGCGCTACGACATGTACCCTCTTCCCCCTTATCAAGGAACCTTGTTCTTCCGAGAGCGGCGATTTGGTGCCCGGGCTCAGATGAGCCCGGACATGAACAATACCGCCATTTGAAATAGAAAATCTGTTTAAAAAATTCCAATTTTTTTTTATGGTGATAGATGCTACTGTACGTGAACTCCGTGCAAAATTTTGTGAAGTTTGGACATTCGAGGAGCTCGTGGTAAAAAAGACAAATTTTGGATGTCTGAGAAACTTTTTAAAATCGCACTGTTCATGCCTGATTTTGTCTTTTTAGCAGCGACCTCCTTGAGTGTTCAAACTTCACAAAATTTTACACGGAGTTCACGCACAGAAGTATCTTGCACCACAAAAAAATTGAAATTTTGTGAGCTTTTTTTAAATTTTAAAATCAAGGTACTGTTTACCGGGCTCTAGGTTGAATTATCGTGTTCTTCCTTGCGTCCTTGCCTCCAGGCAGGGGCGGAGTTTCGGCTGGGCCGAACCAGGCCATGGCCCCCCAGCCCAGCAAAAATTCAGTGAAGACTAGTACTGAATCTGCGCCCTTGGAGCAAAATTTCAATGGTACTCCCTCGGTTCCTAAATACTTGTCTTTTTAGGCATTTCAACAAGTAACTACATACGAAGCAAAATGAGTGAATCTACACTCTAAAATATGTCTACATACATCTGTATGTAGCAGTCATTTGAAATGTTAGAAAAACAAATATTTAGGAATGAAGAGAGTATTTCCTAATCAGGCCTGTTTTTGCCCGCCTAGAGAAGTGGCTGAAGCTCCACCACTGCCTCCGGGTCCAGGGTCACCTGGCGACATGGCGTGCATGGTTGCGCCCAAACACATGGGCATTGGGAGCTTTGCGGATGTCGACTTCTTCTCGTGTGTCCGTCACCAGAACGTCACTTGCATAGAGGGGACACATGAAAAACCGGTGCATCGTGGCTTTGCCATGCTCATCGGGAGCACGTGCGTTCATCGTCCCTCTAGCTGGTCAACAAGTCCACCCGATATTAGCCGATCACATCAACTACAGAAACGCCTCATGAGAAAAATCCACACCTTATGTGTAAAAAAAAACTAAAAACTAGTATTAGATTTGGAGAAACACTATCGTAACGAGCTGGGGAATACGTCTTTGCAATAAGATTTTTGGAAGTATGACTTCCCAATGACTAAGGGCATGTACAAAGGCATCTAGTCAGCTGTCTGTAACACAGGTCACGTAGGAAAATAATGACGTGGGGGAGGGAGAAAGGTAAAAACTACCGAGGGTGTCTGCCCAAATACCGACGGTCTGTTGCCACACAAATCGCTGCATCCAGATAGCTTATTTTCCGTTGTATGAGTTCGTCGGCTGTAGTGGGCTGTTTAGATCGTGTTCGTGGGTCAGATATTTACGGACAGTTGAAGTGTTCCAGCCGGGCCTAACAGACACCCCTGTTTCAGCGTCATATTTTTGGTAGTCTCTAAAGTTGATGTGTACATATGTTATAGACACCAGCCGTCTGTGCCGATCTACATGCCCTAACAAGATTCTGCTCGCAGAGGAGACGCGTGGAACCGACATGCCGATGGCGAATTTCATGACCTTTATCAACCAGCCCGGTCCAAATGTTGCACTCCTTCCGTTTTTATTTACTCTGCATATTAGTTTTGACTGAAGTCAAGCTTTATAAAATTTTACCAAGTTTGTAGAAAAAAATATGAACATTTACAGTAACAAATTTATATGGTGTGAAAATATATGCAATGATGAATCCAATGATATTGATTTGGTGGTGTATATGTTAATATATTTGCACAAACTTGTCGAAAGTATATAAAGTTTGACTTTAGACAAACCTAATATGCAGATGAAGTAGAACGGAACGAGTAAAACATAGCGTAGTCAAACTAACCGATCATACATATGTGCATGCAGTAAATTGACTCGGAAAACAAGGAGGATCCTTAATTGATAATTGTAACTACACGCGCAAATGATTTTTTTATTGATGATTGCAATAGCACATAAATAATTATCTTTATCAATGATTGTGACTGTACATGTGAATGGTTCCCCCTCTTACTAAACTAGATGATACCCCCGCACATTGTTGGGGGTTGTTTTTTTAATATATTTTAATTAGATTTGATTGTATGAAATATGAATATTCGAAGCAATAATATGAGAACTAAAACTTACATATAATTTATCATGTTCGATTATTGTATCGTTGTAAAACATTTGTTAAATAAAAATGGTGTTATAAAATGAAAGTTCGACGTACGTTTGTATGCCGAGGTGAGGTTTTTCCCATGCATGTTGCATGATCAGGTGGCATGCTTGCACACCGAGAGAAACAAGTTAGCGGGGCAAACTATTTGGATGTACTAGAGGATACCGTGCGCATTACTGCGGGAATTGATTGATGAAAACTTGGGTGATAGCACGAGAACTAAAATTAAAATTATGTATGACTTATTATATTTGATTATGTATAATTATAACAATATTTATTGAGTATAGCTAGAATAATTGAAGGAAAACTCTTTTACCATGCATGGTTGAAGGCTGTGGTGGGTCTTTTCTCATGCATGATTATGTTGAGGTGGGTCTTATCGCATTCATAATTGCACGAGAACCAAAATTTAAATTATGCTTGGATGTTGAGCTAAATAAGTTAGCGGGGATGACTCTTTTAGGTATATAGGATAAGATATGAAGAAGAGATAGATAATATATCCCTACAACCGAGCATTAAGTGGAGTAACCTTAAAGGCTATGGCGAATTGGTCCTTCACCCGCCTTCATGGGTCCTAGTTTCTTGAAGGATTGAAGGACCAACGCCTAGAAGGCGAGACCTCCTGTTTTCTACTTAGTTCGAAGGAATAGTTGGGAAAATGCATGAAGCAGCTTACATGGGATGGCCATGCCACGACAAGTTAAGACCTGCATTCTTTTCAAGAAAAATTATTTCAAAATTTATACAAATGTAATCAGAAATAAATTTTCCAAATAAAAAGTTCATTCGAAAATAAAAATATTAATGTATGCAAAGAATATATTTATAAATAAGAAATAAAATGGTCATCACATATTTACAATAAATATACTATATGCATTAAAAAGCTTATGTGTTTCTTAATAAGTTTACGAATTTAAAATATGTATATATGAATCTAATATTTTCCACATCTTTGGAAATGAATTGTATAAAAAAATATGTTAATGTATTTAGAAGTTCCTCCAAAAAATTTAAAAGTAACAAAGTAGAAAGGTTGTTCGTGGACTTGCAAATATGTGTTTCATATACTACTACAAGGAAAATATTCAAGGCTAAAATGGTAAGAGAAATATAAAACATAAACAGAGAAAAACAGTAAAAAAATAAGTAAAATATTTTTTGTTTAAAAATAAATGAATGTAAATAAAGAAAAACAAAAGGTACCTCAATGACAGAAAGAAATCGAAAAAGAAATGAAAACCGGGTTGAATCAGAGATTGGCCAAAATATCCCAACCTCAGGCGTGTGGGGTCATTAGCATTTGCTCAGTTAAATTTTTTTTGAGAGGTAAGGCCTAATTTTTATTCCTCATAGTCCACAGAGAGTGGGATAATGTTTACCTCATGTGGCTGTTCAGTTAAATGGGACGCGTCTACGGCGCTCACTTGGTGACTGGCCCACTACTTGTTTTCCTTGTAGCTTTAGTTCAATGTTTTGCACGATGTTTCCAGCTATATTTGTTTTTACCAATTTCGGTCCATAGTGTGGTTTCACGTCTGTACTATATAATAAAATAAAAATAATAAAATGGGTAATAATACTTTTTTGGTATATAAAAATGCATGCAATTTTAGAAATTATTCACATGTAAAAAATGTAAAAATGATTTTATTTTTAGAATACACTATGAATATTTTTCAAAAAATGCGATGAACATTTTTCTTATACTTGATGAATAGTTTCCAGATACAAGGTGCAAATTTTGTAAATACGTGATGAGCATATTTTGAATTACACAAGGTACATTTTACTAGTTCAAATTATGAATACATAATTTCCATGCATGTTTCCAGCTATAATTCCTCGGGATTATGAATCTATAATTATGGAATAAAGCTAC